ATTACTGGGTACTACACCAACAACAACATTCCAAAAAGTAGACCTCCAACTAGCTGAAGTAAAAGGCCCAGAAATTCTCTCAAATGAGAAGGAAATTGTTATCCAAGACTTCAAATTTGTTGATAAAGTAAATGTCTTCATGACATGCCAGATAAAGTCTTACAAGAAAAAGATGCCGCATGCTGTAGGCTCAACTATTCTCAAATGCCCTTTATGTGGAACTAGTCACAAAGTTAAAGCGGTAGAAAGAGGAATGCCTGCATGCCTTTGCGCCAAAATAGATGGAAAGGATTGCTGGTTTACTGCTCTGACAGATGTAATGGAAAGCTTATTGTCCAGAATAAGCCTTAACACAGATTCCAACACAGATCAAATAGCCGAAAAGTTACTTCAAATCGAATATTAAAATGAAAATTAATACACAGTCCAATCACATAATCAAACTTCTAGAGAATACTACATGTAAATAGTCAGAGAAAACTTTTTCACTTTTCCTATACCATCACCCTTCAGTGGCAGTCAGTGCATATCTTAACAGCTTACAAAATTAATTATAATAACATTTTTATGATAGGTCTCAAAATTATAGACTGCAGTAATCGAAATTAGAAATATCAAGTAAAAAATGTATAAACAAAATAGCTCAAGCTTACATTTACTTTGTATAACTGTGTAATATATTATAATAGTCATGTGTATTTTAACTATTGGTTATCTCGTATCTTTAATTATTGTATCTGATAATACAATGGTCCATCGCATGAAAAACAGAAAACAAATTGCACTAAATCAATAAAGTTTTTTACGCAAAAATATGCGGAATCATTCATTGTATCTTTTTAAATTCTATCCAAACATTTTTCCAATAAAATGGTTCAAAATACATAAATATCCAAACATCCAGCAAGCTCAGAAAAATGCACTACATCTAATGTACATAAAATATTGGCTGATAAACATTTCTTAACCAAAATCAAAATACCCTCTCCAATTCTTGATAAAAGGAAACATAGATTTCATCACTTATTTTGCATCGTTACCTGAAATTTCGCAGTAGACACCTGTACGCATTGCGTACCTATTTTTATAACTGTTATGTACATCATTGCAATACTGTAATAACTTTCTCCCTTATTGGTAATTACTAATAATGTTTACCTGCAGTGCGAAAATTTTTCCTTTGAATATGTTTTGATTTTTCCGTATTACATTTCTCTACTTTGTCTTCATTGCTATCAGCAAAGGCATTTCTTAGTAAAATAGGAAAAAAAACCATAATATTATAAAAAGACCAATATAATAATAACCTAAAATCAAAATATTATTAGTACGCAACAAGTAGAGGAATCTAAAATCTAATATTATTACAGAGGAACCTCGATTTAACAAAGTTGCTAGGGACCGGCCAAATTTGTTCGTTAAATCAAGGGTTTGTTACATCGAAAACCTCGATATAACAAATTTGAGGGGAAGCAACCAAAATGCTCATTATATTGAGGTCATAGTTAATGATTGATTTGTAACACAGGTGACTTCTGTCACGCAATTCAATGCAATTTTCATCACCCAGAAGTGCCGCATTTTGCAATGCAATCATTAAGCATGGTGGCTTTCAGTATCATTTTCACTTTTGAGCTGAAGCACAGCTTTTGTTTACAAAAGAACGACACTTTCAGAGTAGCAATTTAAAAATGTTGCAACATAGAGGTTATACAGAAAATTGTCTATGTAAACAAGGAAACGGGCTTTAGTGTTGTTATGTTGCACTACCCAACATTTCCGGATTTCAAAGAAGATAGAGCAGAAGTTAATTGATGTCGAAATACTATAGTGCCAATGTCTGTGACATATAATAAGCCATTGACTGAAAGGTTGCTATCTCTTCACCAAAAGGATTACAAGGATTTGTTGACTGTTGATCTGTTCAGCGTTTATCTTCTGTCGCATGCTGACATTGTAATTCATTATATCAAGGTAGATTTTATGTTTGGGCTTCCGAATTATGTTCGTTATATCAAGGTGCGGGAACTTTGAAGGACTCCAAGAAAGGAAAGCCTTCAAGAAGAAAGTCCTACCCGCAACTAGCGCAAAATCAGGTCAGTGTCAGTTATGATGAATAGAGTCGTACAGCTTTCATCCTGTGAAATTTATGAAAGGTAAATACTAGAGCTGTAAACGGATGAATTTGCCGAAGGCCTGGATGGAGATGCTGGAATCTCAGTTATCACTTAAAACTTTTTTAGCAACTTGTTAGCAATAAAAATTTCGGCCCCTTTCTCATCAATCAATTTTACAAATCTCAGATCTAAGCCTATCAGTTAAGAAATGCTTGATTTTTTAACTGACAGTCCTGACAGTTAAATTATGAATAATTCAAGCGAAACCCCATCCAGACCCATTTTTTGTAGGTTGGCCATTCAAGGGCGTTTGCACAAAAATCTTCTAATGATGACTGCGTTGATAAAATACAATAGCTACTTGACGTTCCTGAGACCATTAAAGTTAAATTTTCCTTTTATTTTAATTCGTAAAGATGCATTTGACCGTTTGCGAATCAAGACTGTTTTGTTACTCATCTGTTTCCGAATCCATGGTGAGGTGCGCTGTGCGTGTTACTTATTAGACTGCAATCAGTCTCTCTTTTGCTTGAAAGGCTCACCTTTCGACGTGTGCACTACTCACAGCTCACATATTGCGTTCGCTGGCTCAGTTGTTTTCATTCTTCCATGCGGATTTTAGAGCAAAATAAAGAGTGCTTGCAGTCTACTTGTACAAAGAAAGTTGGCGGAGGACGTTCATATTTTCATTTAAATGTCAACGACCTGGCTAGGTTTTTTCCAAGAGTGACTCATCATCAGCTGCCTTATTGTATCTCGCTTTAAAACTTTTTCATTTTCTATTTTTTCCAGTAAATATTGACGTAATTGTCTGTAAAAATATAGATTGGTCTTATCTTTACTCATTCAATATCGTCTTGTTTTTGCCTTTAAAATAAGGTTGGCATGCCACTCCAAGGCCTGGAACAGGCAACCACCAAGGATGACCTCCTCCGGAAAGTGGTGCAGAGGAAGCTTTCCCTTAAAGACTTGCGGCAAGCTGCCGACAACATCAAAAAGAAAAAATATCTCGTTGCTGCATTCCTGAAGTTTACCGGAGAAGAGGATTGGGAATCTCTTCAAAAGAGATTTCCACATCATGCCACGGAGGAAAAACTGGCGCAATTTAAAGGTGTCCCCCTAAAGAAAAACAAGGCCTCACCCGTAAGTGCAATCATTCTATACTTTGTATGTGTTGATGGAATACACTGCATCTGATAGTTTTAGTTTCAACCACAATTCTTAAATGGTTATTATACCTCCAACCAAAGTAAAACTGGGGTAGAGTGGTGGCTGTATATATAACTGAATTGATACTATCATAACGATAATAATTCTGATCTGCGGTGGTAAAGTTTACATGTAAAACCGCACTAACAAAATAATTTGATTGGATATCTTGGCTAAACATTGCAAGGTTGAACATCCGTAACGTAGATATAAATAATTGGAATGAGAAAAAAAATACATTTTTCGCTTTCTTTACCGTTGAAATAGGTGTTGGAAGCATTCTTCAAAAGGGCGTTGGCATGGGAAAAGGGAAGCAAAGAGGAGAATGAAGAAGCAGCAATTTCACTTTCTGATGAGAGAGATGGTGTACATTTACCAATGTGGACACGAGATGGGAGTACTGTTGAAAGGACATCCAACAAAATTGCCCTTGCACCAATTAAGGTCAATAGCCCCAGGACTGAAGGGCTTTGATCTAGTAATTTTCCATTTGCAGAACGTGAGTAAACACACATTACGTCATTATTCGCTTACCTCGGGATCGCTAGCGTTATAGTTAAGGCCTAGCGTTCAAGTGCCTCGAATAAAAGCACTGCGTTATCGAGTGTTGTAGGGCTTAATCGTAGGAGGAGCATACTCTTACCTTTACTCCGCTCTTAGGTGCGACAATTATTTAGGGCAGGAAAATTTTAAGTCAAACAAACAAAACAAAAACAATACACGTTTCTTTACCTTCATCAATCAATCAATCAATCAATCAAACAGACACCTAACTTATGCGTCAAATTTATTGTTTATATACAAATGGAGTGTGCGGCATGGTATGCAGTAGCCAGAATTAATATAAAGAAATCAATGTATAATTCATTAAAAACGTCTGTTGTTGTCATCACCAGGACACTCAGGAAATGGACTTTAAGAAGTTTTTGATGGCTGTCCATGCAGGAAACACCGATGAACTTAACAACTATAACGTCGCCGTCATTTATGACGAAAATATGTTGGAAGTGAACGTGCAGGAAATAATGAGGGAAAAATTTAACTGCGTACAAAAGGCATTCTGGTTCAACACAAGAGAACAGAAACTACAAGGTATCTATATTATGAAATAGTGGCTTCCTTCTAATTTTCATGAACCCTTGCGTGAAATATGGAAATGGAGCTAACCACATACATAGCAGCAGTCTGATAAATAAAATGTGAAGAAAT